AAAGTAAAGATTAATGTGTCACAGAAATTTTAACATGTAAACAGGGCCATATGTGACACATCTAATAAGAACTGTTGAGCAGTAATTCTTGCATCACATCATAGAGGTTAGACTTAGCAATTTTCTGAAGGGAGCAAGAGCATGGGAACAGGTATAATGTTCCAAATGGTATACACTTTTTTTTTCCTTCTTAAGAATAGAAGCTCTCTTATAAATGGATTTTGCTTTGCTTTTTAAAGTAAACTTAAGTGATTAACTTTGTTAGTAGTGTAAACTAAGAAGATAGGAAATGTTGCATATCAGAACAATTGAACCCCCAAAATCAGGATGCTTGAACTTACGATATGGTGATTAACATTCTAGTACCTTTCACACAGAATTTACAGTGTCTTATAAACTGTTTATCACAAATGCTTACAGTTCTCTTACAGGTCAGGAAGTTTCAAAAATAAAAACGTGTTTTGAAAATTTCTTCAAGTCAGAAGGTTGAGACTCAGAATTTATTTTAACCTAGAAATAAGTTAAAAATAATGGTTATATTTTCTGGACAATTAGTTTAAACTTGTTTCAATGACAGTCTAGGGAGGTATCTAAAAACATATGCTGTAGGCCTAGCCTAGGATCAAATCCCACCTCTGCTGTCCACAGGCTCTGTGACCCTGAGGAAGCTACTTAACTGCTCTGAACTTCAGTTTCTTCCTCTGTAAAATGAGGATATAATCATAGTACCGATTTCATAGGGCTGTTATAAGGATTCTATGTTAGTAGCTCTTAAAACTTTCCCTGGCATACAGTAGGCACTATGGAAGTATTAGCTACTGCTTGTCACTTTTGTGAACTAAGAACAACAGTAGAAGTCTGAAGTTTGGGTCCTGAAGCAAGGATCTATCCTGTCTGATTTAGATGCCACTCTAGAATAGCATTCGCTAAGTTATATAACTGTTGACTTACTTGTCTGGCTCCTCCAATGGTCTGTTAAGTTCTTTTGGGGCAGGGACAGTATCTTATTTGACCTTGTCACACCAATGTAATCATAAATCTGGCAACATAGTGAGTGTTCAATAAATGGTAGCTAGTAATATCAGCAGTGGCAGTTGCAAAAGGGGACATTCGATAAATATTTGTGAAATGAAGAGACCCAATAGTGAGGAGAAGGAAGAAATTTTCTCCCTCTGCTTTGGACACTGTGCCAACCCCAAGTAAAATTTTGAGAATGGGCAAAACTTCTGTTTGGCATCTCTCTCCTCTTCCTCTGTATCTTTCTCTACCTTATATTGCCTATCTTCCCTGGCACCTATGGGCTCAGTGACATCATATTGTTTTAATTCTTCCATGATGTTATCTCTTAAGCCTGCTGTACCCCCAAAGTGTTCCACGCTTCACAATGACCTTTCTGTCCCCTGCCAGTCAAAATTACTATTGTTTCAGGGCAGCCAGTCTCAGCCAGCTGTTACAGGGAAAGTATCCTACACAAATTTACGCTTAATGTGTGTGAGTACCTAAGAGTCCTTAATGCTCCAAGGGATTTACATTTTTCAAAACCTGCAATGACTCTCCATTTAGTGGAATTACTAGCTGTGTATTAAAGTGAAGCGAAAGGAAGATGCTTTTGCAGGGGAGAGGGGAGCTGCCAAGTAGAAAGCCAGACTTGGGGTAACTCCCCGGTAGGGTTTCTGACTTTCATCTTCCCTGCTACTAAAGTTGTAATTCCCAAGCCATTTAAATTTGTCCCACCCTCTACCCTATCAACATCGATCAATAGCATTGTCAAGAAAGGCTCCCAGTTTGAGGAGGAATGGAAAATGGGCTAAGGGGCAGAGCTAGGGGGCTTTCTGTATAGGCTCAATCTTTTTTTTTTTTTTTTTTTTTGAGACAGAGTCTCACTCTGTTGTCCTGGCTAGAGTGCCGTGGCTTCGGCCTAGCTCACAGCAACCTCAAACTCCTGGGCTCAAGCAATCCTCCTGCCTCAGTCTCCCGAGTAGCTGGGACTACAGGCACGTGCCACCGTGCCCAGCTAATTTTTTCTATTTTCAGTTGTTGGCTAATTTCTTTCTATTTATAGT